GGTGGAGAGGGGAAGGAAGGAGGCGGGGGGGGGGGAGGTCCTGGACTAATGAGGACAGGAATTAATGGTTTATGAAAATGAGTAAGCTTCTAACGTGTAGCAAACGTTTTATAAAGTTTGGAAAATCTGCATCTCTTAAGAAATGGCAGACTCGCTCAACTTAAGACGAGCGGAGAGAACATGCTACTACTATAAACTAAATTACAAGGATGAGGGAAAGAAACTAAAAAACATTAGGCTGCCCCTCCTTTGGGGTCCAGGCAGAGGCACAATCTGGAGTTGAAGGTTAACGGGATGGAGGTTAGCGGCACGCTGAGCTGGGTGGGGCTAGGGCAGGGACACGATCCCAAAGAGTGGGGCGACTGCAGGCGGCAGGGCATAGGACCCAGGCAGCTGCGCGGACAACTCTCCCTTGTCTCGCGTCCACTTACCAGGCCAGGCCCAGACATGTCCCCAGCGACAGCAGGCTCAGGCCTGTCCGGGGGTCCGCCCAGCCCCTGCCTCCACCGTCCCGGGCATCGGGGCACTTTCCGCCCTCGCTCCTCTTCCGGGGCTCCGAGGACGCTGCCCTGGGCGCCGACTTCTTCCGGCTCTTCACCTCGGACATGTCTGCGGGCCCTGAGGGAGACAAACCCGAGACGGGGCGGCTTCTTCACCTTGAGGGAACGGGACGTGGCCGCTTTTGCCTCCTCCCGAAGCTGCGGAGGAGACACCGCCCGCTCACAGGCTTGGCACCGCCCAAAACCCGGCCCCTCTCGCTCTCCTCGTCATCCTTGCTGCTTCACAGCATCTCCCAGCAGCCGGCCTCCTAGTTCTTCCATCTCCGCCTTCCTTTGCGCACGGCCACAAACAGGAGGAAATCGTAGCTCCCGGAGCGTGCATGCAGCCGAAACCCGGGGGGTGGGGCCAGGCCGCGCGCGCCACTTAGAGCGCGCCGCCGTCGCCTGGGTCTTCCTCTCATAGGAGCTCGGCGCGCCCCTGTGGCTTAGCCACGCCTCTCGACGAAGGGTGGAGCTCTTTCTTATGGGAGCGCGCGCGGCGGCGGCCGCCTGAAGGGGCTTGGCTGTGCGTTTTTGCTAGCGGGCCATCGTTGTACGGATTGGGTTGGCCGAGCGAGTTTTGACTGCTATGTTGCCCTGAAACAGACCAGAGGAGGTAATGAGTGAATGCAGATGCTTTATCTTTGTGTAAAAAGGTTGCAGGAGCCGGAGGTGAGGTGTTTCGGCCGCCAGGGACCAGGGAAGACTTGAAGTGGCTCCAGGCGCCTCCGGAGTCTCGCCGGTTTCCGTCGAGGTGCAACTAACGCCGGAGCGAGGGAGCGACAGCCCCAGTGGCCCTCTTCCCTTTGTGTCCGCCACGGGAGGGCGGGCCGCCAAGCGGGCCTCAACTCGGCGCCCGGTAACAGTGAGATCCTGCCTCGCGGGTGACGCCCATTTTCCCGCGCCTCGAGTCCTCCGGGATCTTCAGGCGTTCCGGACTGCGGTGGCCCAGGTGAGGCACCTGTGAGTCCTGCCCCGAGGTGCAGGGTTAGTAGAGAAGCAGCGCCCCGCAGCTCGCGTTTGTCGTCTGAGGCAGAGGTTGCTTTTAAACCCGGCCTGCACTCGCAGGGCTGCTCGTCCCATTAACCCCACGGCTTCAGATTTGGGATAAGTTTGCCCCCTGGCTTTTCGCTCCGAGCCAGGTTCTTTGGAGCATCAGCAGAATTCTGAGACGGAAGATTCAAAAACATGGTATATTTGGTAACTATTCTGCTCCTGTACTGTTATGTGCCGTGGAGTCGGAAACCACTCATAGTGACTCCTTGGGTTCCCCAGGCAGTATCACTACGGAAGTATATTGCTCAACCTGCCTTCCGAGGAGTGGCTGGTAGGTTTGAAGCGCCAGCCTTTTGGTTAGCAGTCAAGTGCCTTAGGCACTACGTTACCAGAGCTCCTCCCTTGTACTAGGAAGAGCAATTATCTAATGAGGAAGTAGTTAACTATTAAGATATTCCTATATGAACTTACCCTTCACTTTCTATTTTACTTCTGTGGTGAGTTTTGGTTTTCCATTTTGATGTCTCACAAAAGGCAGGATACTTTGAGATTTGTTCAAATATTTAAATTTGTGCAGAGTTTAAAAACGTATTTTACAGTTTACGTATCTAAGGTTAAAAATG